AATGGGTGTGAATGTTTATGCTCTGCTACAACTGTGCTCCAGCAGTGTGTTTGGGTTAGTAGCAAGAGTATTGGTTTTGTGTTATGAAAAGCTGAAAACATCAACAGTGTAGCTCTGTAACCATTAACTGTATGGCCAAACACAGGCTCTCTGATGGAAGAGGTTGTGCCAATGTGACCCTAGATAAGTGGTGGTGTTCAATGTGACAGTCAACATGGACCAGTGTCTTCCTGGCACTCAGACGTAAGCCTACGGTGATGTTAGTTATCCGATAATCCACTTGCTGACACGGAATGTGTGACTGAACTAATGCTTTTGCACGTTGCATTAACTCAAAACCAAACTGGCTGATACAATCAAATTAATCCCATGCTGGCTTGCCTTTAAAAGCCATCAATTTACAGTTGCAATTTCCTTCTCTTCCTACTGTAGTCGACTTCTACCTCTGCCAGGGTTCGGTAATGTACAGTTGACACTGGTACCTATCTGTGAATGCAACTGCTCATCACAAATGGTACGTAATTTGGTACACGTGGTGTGCATGTGGATATTGTGTTTGTTTCAGAGTCTGAACCACCCATCTTGTGGCGACCGAGGCTCTCTTGTGTGTGGAGCCTGCGACTGTTCTGAGTAAGAAAAAGTTTAATGGCAAGGATAGCCTTGCGGAACACTGAATTACAAGGCAAATAAAATGTGTGACCATCACTATGATTTGCAGGGGCTTCTATGGAGAGCAATGTGAGTGTGACGATGAACTGGGGCCCTGTCTGTAAGTGACATTTCTACACAAAGCTACATGACACCATCCCTACATCTTTGTCCGATTGATGATGATCAATATCAGACAAAGATAATAGGGTTGATATCATGTATGTAGCTTTGTGTGTCTTGGCTGTGAAATTATTTATTCCACTTGTATATGCAGGGATGACTGTTTTAACAGAGGAACTTGTGATAACTGCACAAGAGAGTGTATAAGTTGTGATACATACCAGGTACATAATGCCATAATTTGATGAGAAACTCACTGTATATGCACATGTCGTTCGTACATATTAGACTGTGTTATGTTTTTCATGCAGGATATTAAAGGTGGTGTTTTTCAGATAGTGGGCAGCTTTGGAGAGAGATGTCAGTGTGACAACTCCACTGGTGCTGGAGCCTGTCCTGTTGGGAGAGATATAGACCAAGTCTGCAGTGGTGAGTGTTGGAGAGATATAGACCAAGTCTGCAGTTGTGAGTGTTGGGAGAGATATAGACCAAGACTGCAGTGGTGAGTGTTGGGAGAGATATAGACCAAGTCTGCAGTTGTGAGTGTTGGGAGAGATATAGTCCAAATCTGCAGTGGTGAGTGTTGGGAGAGATAATAGACCAAGACTGCAGTAGTGAGCTGGCCCCAGCCATTAGTGTTGGACACTGAAGTCAGTGCACAATTTTTCTAAGTAACTATATACTGTACGTGTACAGGTAGGGGAGAGTGCATGTGTGATGGAGACAAGTGTGACTGTGACTGTGAGTGTGGGACAGCTCCTCTTTCTGGTCAGCATTACTTTGAAGATGACTGTGGCTGCGACCCTGACAACTGCTACAATGAGCAGTACCCTGGCGTGAGTTGATAGAGCCTTGCAAATCTGTGTGTGTGTGAGTGAGCGAGAAAGAGAGAGAGAGAGAGAATGGAATAAGCGAAAGACATGCATGTGAACAGCACCTAGGTCCCAAGGCAAAAGCAAAGCAAACAATCAACAACGAGAACCAGGACAACTCCTCAAAAGAGCTGCCATGCTATATGAGATAGCTAGAGGGAAATAGGATGAGCTTTCTACATAAGGATAACTCTTACCTCAAGAGTATTCTGCATGCACATGCTAAAGCAAGAAGGCAGTTAGTCTGAACAGAAAAGCTGTTGAAGGGCATGTATAATAATGTACATATATCTCACAGAGGGAATGTGCACACAGTAGGAACAGACGCTTGGATGGCCACTGTGACTGTAATCAATGTGAGTGCCCTGCAGAGGACTCTGTCTACTTCAACAGGACCTGCATCAATAGAGTGAGTAGTACTGTGTGGCCGCCATATTAGCACTAAAGTGCAAACCCTCTACGCAGAACCATGTTCCTGCAGCGTCTCAAAAAGCCAAAAAATAATAGCTACTTCAACCACACTTCTAAAACGAAATGAGGATAGCTGGACAAAAAAAAGTAGTGTAGAGAAGATATGCCAGCAAGAATCGAACTCGATTGGAGTGCGCTTGTCGAAGAGCGTTTGTACCACAAAGCCAAAGTGGTGGAGTGGGGAGCTACAAGCTCACTGAATCCCCATTCACATAGCATCACAAAATGCATGCACATGTCAGAGAAAACGGCCTTTTTGGTTTTCCTTATCATACTCAATACTCCTTTGTTGCGAATATCATAGCGTGAGATGCGAGATTAAGCAGAGCTGACAGACACGAACCAAGTACCGTAACTCCTGGTGTATGCGCGCCGAGGGTACTATATTGTAGCATGTTTTCGCACGTATTTAGAGTCTTGTTGGTCGATGCCCCCTTACATATAAATTCCGAATTCAGATGACTACTTCGCTTGCCAATAGCTAAATGAGAATAGTGGTTAGCTACGTAGATTCTCTGAATCATTAGTCATGCATTCTATAGATTGACTTGTGTGATATGTTTGACTCCTGCGCTCGCTGCTGGCCTGGGGGTTGCACTACAGAAGACTGTCAATCCGGTTACCTGGAGGATTCCAGTGAGTTCTCGAACCATTTCACAGTGCTTATATAACTACCAAATTAATGGTGTGGTTCTAGCTTTGCCCATCCTCCTGTGTATGTGGTGACATGGCAAAATTTTCACTGTCCTGGGTGTAGTTGATTTGTTTGTTGTGCCTTTGCCTTTCTACCTCATAGTTTTCACATGCAATTGACATGAGTCAAATGTATTATCAAATCCCTGCAGTTGCAGAAGACAGCGGGGGCCCCCCCCCCCCCCCCCCCCCCCCCCCCCCCCCCGCCCCCCCCCCCCCCCCCCCCCCCCCCCCCCACCCCCCCCCACCCCCCCCCCCCCCCCCCCCCCCCCCCCCCCCAACCCCCCCCCCCCCCCCCCCCCCCCCCCCCCCCCCCCCCCCCCCCCCCCCCCCCCCCCCCCCCCCCCCCCCCCCCCCCCCCCCCCCCCCCCCCCCCCCCCCCCCCGCCCACCCCCTTTAGTTTTTTGTTTTTTTGTTTTTGTTGATTGGTGTTTTTTTTTTCGTTTTTTTTTGTGTTTTTTTTGTTGTTCTTTTATGTGTTTTTCGTTTTGACTTTTTTTTCTTTTTTTTATTTTGATCTTTTTTTTTTTGTCTTTTTTTTCTTTTATTATCTTTTCCTCGGCATGGGTTTCTTTTTTTTCTTTGAATTCTTTGGCTCTGTTTTCTTTGATAAATTATTCACAATTCGTTTTTTGGGTTTTTTTTTTATTTTGTTTCTTTGTTTGTTTTTTTTTTTTCGTGTTTTTTTTTTTGTTGTCGTGTGTTGGTGTTTTTTCTCTTGTTCTGTTTTCTTTCCTTGTATTTTGCCCTTCGTTCCGGGACTTTTCGCTTTCTTTTTTGTTATGTGTTTTTATTTGAGTTTTGTTCCTTTCTTGTTTGGTTTTGTGTGTTTTTTGGTGTTTGGGTGGTGGGTGGTTTTGGGGTGGCCTTTTTTCCCTCCCTTTTTCTTCTTGTTAACTACCTGATTGTCCCCTCTGGGCCATCTTACTCCGTGGCCAGAGTGTACTTTTTGGGGTACAGTGGTGAGCCAGCATGTACATGTAATCTGATTAACAATAACCCTCAGTACAAAGTGTGTGTCAATAAAATCAATAATCACTTGGAAGTATCTTGTGTAGTAAGACCTCGTGCTGGTTCTGTAACCTGTTTCGGTATAAAATCAATGCTGGAATGAAAAGCACTAAAATGCAAACCCTCGGCGAACTGTGCATGCGCGGTACCGCTAATTGATGGGTTTGGCTATTAGTATGCGTTTACTCGCCATCTCCGCGCTAGTAGCTGGCGGAGAGTCTGACACGGGCTAGTATATACGGAGGTCGATACACGCCCTTCGTTGTGACTTCTTGAGCCTTCAAGATACACAGAGCGAGCAAACTGTGCATTATGTCAGTATTTTGGAATTCGGGTTTTGGCTCGGTACTGGCAAAGCCTTGTGGGGATGAATAACATTAGTTCAAAACCACAAGTGCTGCACTCAACTTAGCTGATGAGGGCCAACAAGCCTGAAACAGCTGTCCAGAGCTCCCCATCTTTTTTCTCTTGGCATCACATGGTGTATTGTTTCATGTGAATGCGCTGGCAGGATATGGGTGCTTGCTGGCTTCATTGCCGCGGCCCAATCAGAATTCGTGTTTTGGCTCGGTACTGGCAAAGCCTTGTGGGGATGAATCTCATTAGTTCAAAACCACAAGTGCTGAGCTCAACTTAGCCTTTATAAACTCGTGGTGCCAGGGAGAGAAGTTGTGGTATGCTCTGCTGGTGAGGGTCAACAAGCCCGAAACAGAGCTCCCATCTCCATTTCAGCTCCCATACAAAATTGAATCGACCGTACCACGACTGCACCCCTGTGTAATTTTGACACTGATCTCCCCCCATACTTGTTCACTTGATTTTCACGCTATAACTTTTGAACTCAGCAGTTATACGAAAATCACCTTTTTAAAAATTGATTGATGCACACACCAGTAAAGGCGCGGAATAGACACAACATAAAAATGAATATAAAGAAAGTGGAGAGCAGAACCACAGTCTTCTGTAGCGACGAACCCGTTGGTATCGCTATTTTCTTATCTCGTTGCGCATAGTCGCAGAAAATGTGGTGACAGACAGACAGACAGACGGACGGACAGACGCACTTACAAACCAAGTATATACCGTAACCCTCGCTGCGCATGAGCGCCGAGGGTTAATAACTAGTGGAAATTCTTTGGGCGAGCGGAGCGAGCCTAAGTGTACTATAGCGCAAGTATATACAACCATCATCATTACTAGCAATACTAGTAGGTGAATGCATGGCACTTTTGGCGAGCGGGAGCTAGCACACAATGACTGTATCTGTACGAGCCATCATAGCAGCGTGTAGAAGCGCGCGTTATCCTGACGCATGCGCAGGTATATAGCACATGTGAAAACAATTTGAAATGATTTCGGATAAAAAGAAGCGCGTAACGAAGCCGCGCATGCGCACGTACACTACGAAAAATCACGCCGTTTGGACCACTAGGTTAGCTCACTCCCGCTCGCCAAATATAGCTAGATACCTACAGGTAAAAATGTTTCAGCAAGTAATAGAAGTTAGTATGGTGTTGTCCATAAGTGAAACTACCAGAATAAAGTAGCAACGGAACGGTAATGTGTAGCCTGACGTTGCCTTGGCCATCTCTAAATCATCACCGAAAAGGCGAGCCTCTCTGTCGTGAGGGCTTTCGACGGCCGGGCGTTCTGTCTGTCTACCTCTGTGAACAGAAGTAGTATCGTTGCCTTGCCAGCTCTCGATCTCGTAAACGTCACTGAAAAGACGAGCCTCTCTGTCGTGAGGGCTTTCGACGGCCGGGCGTTCTGTCTGTCTACCTCTGTGAACAGAAGCAGTGAGTATCGTTGCTGGACGTGAACTGAAGCACCGGGCCCGCCCAATATTAGTTGAAGCGGCGTAATATCGGCGCATGCGCATAACTACGACAGACGGTGTGTCGTATAAATTCCACCCGAAAAAACCACTAGGGGGGTTCGCTCCGCTCGCCCAATGACACTAAAGTGCAAACCCTCGACGTGCGCGGTACTTCTAATTGATGGACTAGGCACAACCTTACTGCGTCGCCATCATGCAGCTCTATATCAGAACCTCCATCACAAATAGGCACACATATCCAATCAAAAAACAATTGAACTTTAGGTTTGTCTGGATTGCTGGGATGGCTGCTCTATTGGTGTTGGTTATAAGTACAGTATTATGGGAAATGCAGTTGGTACATGTACTCTATATAGTATGCATTTAACCATGCTAGTATCTCGCGGAGAGTGACACGGGCTAGCTACAACAGTAAATAGCACGCGGGAGTCGATACACGCCCTTTGTTGCCTTGGCCATCTCTAAATCATCACCGAAAAGGCGAGCCCCTCTGTCGTGAGGACTTCGACGGCCGGCATTCTGTCTGTCTACCTCTTGGAACAGAAGTAGTATCGTTGCCTTGCCAGCTCTCGATCTCGTAAACGTCACTGAAAAAGGCGAGCCTCTCTGTCGTGAGGGCTTTCGACGGCCGGGCGTTCTGTCTGTCTACCTCTGTGAACAGAAGCAGTGAGTATCGTTGCTGGACGTGAACTGAACCACCGGGCCCCGCCCAATATTAGTTGAAGCGCGTAATATCGGCGCATGCGCATAACTACGACAGACGGTGTGTCGTATAAATTCCACCCGAAAAAACCACTAGGGGGGTTCGCTCCGCTCGCCCAATGACACTAAAGTGCAAACCCTCGACGTGCGCGGTACTTCTAATTGATGGACTAGGCACAACCTTACTGCGTCGCCATCATGCAGCTGTATATCAGAACCTCCATCACAAATAGGCACACATATCCAATCAAAAAACAATTGAACTTTAGGTTTGTCTGGATTGCTGGGATGGCTGCTCTATTGGTGTTGGTTATAAGTACAGTATTATGGGAAATGCAGTTGGTACATGTACTCTATATTAGTATGCGTTTAACCATGCTAGTAGCTCGCGGAGAGTGACACGGGCTAGCTATAACAGTAAATAGCACGCGGGAGTCGATACACGCCCTTTGTTGTGACATTTTTGTGCCTTCAAGATACACTGAGCAAGCGGACTTGCTCGAGGTAAGCCTATTCTAATGAAAATTAACAGAGGAGAGACACTCAAAAAACTGCTTGCCCGTAAAAAAAACGCCTGACATCTTGCGGATATGCGCATGCCCCGGCAAAACACTGACCAAGACGTGTGCGCGCCAGCGTAGCCAGCCAGCAGGTCGCAATCGCGTAGGCTTGTTTTCAGTTTCACACCATATCTCTGGAACACAGTCGAATCGCCGAGCGCACTCGTGTGTGCTTGTTTTAATTTTCACACCATATCTCTGTAAAGCAGTCGTTTCAGGAAAATCGAAAATCTTAGTAGCTTTGTGAATGAATCCAATGTCTTCTTTGACAATTCAGTGGGAGAAACTGACTTGAACCTTTCATGTGATTTCCATGCATTTGCAAAGTTTAGTGTAACAACATGTAATTATCAAGATGCTCACACATTTCAGAAAACTAGGTATAGTCTCTTTGATTTTCCATATGTACCTTTAAAGACAAAGTTTGCTGTTCTGTACTTGCAGACTGCCAATCGTCGGAGATGGATAGTATGGCCTGGGTAGTTCCTGTCGTGGCAGTGCAAGGATTTCTACTACTGGTAGCTGTGCCAGTCATTACTGGCTTGTGCATTCTGAGAAAACATGTATGTGTTTACATGTACTACATGTTGCAGTGTTTGTGCTCTATATTATACTTAACAAGCCCTTACGCCAGCAGTATAGCTAAAAATGGCATTGTCTGCAATTTCATAGACAATTAATAGGCTATGAGAAAACAACCCTTATCGCTCACGTTCAAGTAGCAGCACATGCCTGATTCCCAGAGCGGTAATTGCGGAATGGAAAGGAGTGTAAGTTTCAGGTTTTAGCAGACTCAACCTCTATCTAACAACTAAAGCCTGCATAAATTTGGGCATGTATACCGCCACTCAATCTTGCGCGATAAGGGTTGTTTTCTCTCAGAGCCTATCACATATTTCATGGCATCACATAATCGTTTCTTATAGATCTTGGCCTTGCACAATCATTACCGGTCATTGGTAGACTTAAAAGGTCTTGATATGATCTGTACAATCACCATTGTTGTTTTGCATCTTGCAGAACAAAAATCACACCAGTAAAGAAGTGAGAGCAGAGTATCCAGGGATAAAGGGAAAAGGGAAGTTTCTTAACACTTTGGTGTTAGATACTGTACCTAGTAGAGGAGCTTCATTCGTGCAAATTTTCTTGTAATTTGCAGTTTCACATGGTCATCAAAGGTGCACTGTGTGCACTACTGTCTTATTTATTGAGGCATCATGTAAAAGTACAGTATTTTAACTATTCACGCAGTGGTCCAGTCCAGCCTGTTGAATTATAATGTAACGAGGTTATAATGAGCTGACAAAAAACGAATTTCTATTCTTAGGAGTCTGATAGATAATGTATCGTTGTCCACGCAGGTCGCACATTGTGGAAGAAGGAACTGAGGTATATACATAACATACGCTACATTCTTGTTTCCCTGTATCAGTTACTAATTATGCTGGATGAATCAGCCTAAACTGACATAATATCCAGTCATCTTGTTCCTGTGTTTTGCTATAGTACTATGCTAGATGTGGGCCATTGATTAGCGGTTATTGGTAGGTTTAGTGATCTTAACATAACGTACATCTGATCTGTGAATGCTCTGGTAAAGAGTTGTTTTGATGCCCTCTGCAGGAAGAAAAGAGATGAGAAAGAGGATTTTGGTACAGGAACCATGATTGATTCAGTTGCATGTGTTAAACTGACATCATTTTTCAGAAACCACTGCTGCACTAACTGAACCGCTAATGATGTCTGATGTACTAGAAGAACTAGTACAAGAAATGTCTACTAATGGACTCTTTGTTCCTGATACTAGCATTACCATACAAAACGTTGTTGGTGAAGGTATAAACTTTGTTATTAGCTCGACGACTATTTGATTTTTATATATTCATCTAAAAGGAGAGTTTGGAGTTGTGTACAAGGCACTTCTACATGGGTGGAAGGAGAACATGCACAGTTTGGTTGCCGTGAAGACTTTAAAAGGTGTTTAGGTCACAAAATATGTTTGTGAGGTAGCTATTTTGCTCGTGTTATTACAGGAATGTTTAGTTGTTGTGATGTTAAACATCTGGCAGAGGAGAGTCAGATCATGGCAAGATTTGATCATCCCAATGTCATGAAGCTGATTGGTGTGTCCATGAACAAGTATAAACACCTTTTTATTGTCATGCCATTCATGGCTAAAGGCAGTCTCTTATATCATCTGAAGAAGAATAGACACATTTTCACTATAGAGAGTGAGGAAATCACAGAAATGGTAATTGTACCTACTAAATTGAGTTACATCTTTGAACTACTACAAACACTCCATTAATATTTCACAGCCAGAAGTAACGAGTTCAAGGTTGCTATCAATGTGCCTGCAGATTGCAAAAGGCATGGAATACTTGGCACACAATAAGTTTGTTCATCGTGACCTCGCAGCTAGGAACTGCATGTAAGAGATAAACATTTTTTATTGGTGCTTATGTGACTTTCTCCCATGTCAGGATTGACTTGAACAATGTGATAAAGGTTGCTGACTTTGGTCTGACAGAGGATACCTATGCCAGGAACTATTTCAGACAAACAACAGAGCAAGAGGATGGAGAGCCTCCTGTGAAGCTGCCAGTGAAATGGATGGCTCTGGAGAGTCTGAATGATGGAATCTTCTCTGAGAAAACTGATGTGGTAAGACCTACAAATTTCACTAGATAAGGCAAGTGGCAACATGTGATCCATTGTACAGTGGTCATTTGGAGTGACATGTTGGGAGGTGTTCTCATTGGGGAAGAACCCCTACCCTGGAGTGGACCCCTTTTCCCTCATCAGATATCTGGAGAGAGGAGAGAGACTGGATAAGCCTCTCAATGCTGCCTGCTCCCAAGAAATGTGGGGAGATGAACAGTTTACTTACTCTCTATAACTAAAATTGGCAAGGGACACGGGGCCAATGATTTTGTCCCTTGTAGAGAGGCCGTCCCTATCTCGAAGGTCAAATAACAAACTGAAGTATTAGTGTGGGGTTTTAACAAGTGTCCGTTATAGAGAGGTTGTCCCTATCTCAGAGGGTCCCTTATCGGAGGTTCCACTGTATTCACCATCAGATATAATGTGATGAGGGAGTGTTGGGAGTGGAAGCCATGGAAGAGACCAAGTTTCTCTCAACTGGTGACTGTCATCTCCACTAGTCTGGAGGGAATGGGCTGGATATCTGGACCTCAACTCTCCAGTTCCTACCACTACAAATACTCCCAACTGACATGAAAACAATAGTCTTTTAGTTTAGCCTACTGTAACACATATTGGGGTATATGTAGCTAAATAATCTCTCTGAGTTTACTGTTGGGTGATTTGGAATGGTGTTAATGGCGCAATAGCAGACCTGCACACTCCACCTGACATCAGAGCTGCTGCTTTAACTGAAGGCAACCCTTTTCAGAGCCAGTTAGAATGGATGTGTTTAGTTGATGCATTTCCAAACAGCTGCATAGTAGTGGTAGTGTTACCATCATGTAAGTTACCTACTCTGTAGTGGCTGACTCCACCACTACTGACTGTGACAAAGTGGTCACATGATGTTTTCTACATGAGTACGAAGAAAGCAAATTCAGTGGATTTGTGAAAAATACATGTACAATTAATAGGACATTTTTAATACCTGAAGCAGGATGGATCACGTAGACATGGACTTTTACTGCAATTCAGTCCAGCCACACCTGAACACTGCTTGTCCTGGAGCAGGACGGATCACGTAGACATGCACGTTTACTATAATTCATTACAGCCACACCTGAACACTGCTTGTCCTGGAGCAGGACGGATCACGTAGACATGGACTTTTACAGTCCAGCCACATCTGAACACTGCTTGTCCTGGAGCAGGACGGATCACGTAGACATGGACGTTTACTATAATTCAGTCCAGCCACACCTGAACACTGCTTGTCCTCCTGGAGCAGAACGGATCACGTAGATCTTCAACTTCTTCTCTTCATCCCTTTTCTTTTTCTCTTTTATATCAGCAGCATTCTCTGCATCTGTTTTGGAGCTAACTGTTGCCAGAGTTCTTTCTTCTTTTTTGCAGTATTGCTTTCTTCTCTTTTTTCTTGAATTCTAGTGATCTTTTCTTCGTTTTGATTTCCTGCAAAAAAATTTAAAACGATCTTGGAAGAAACACATATCCCTGCCTTAGACATGCACACACAGCACATGATCCCTACAAGACCGCACAGATGGCTGATCGCCGGTCAGGGAGACATGCACACACACAGCACATGATCCCTGCCTACAAGACCGCACAGATGGCTGATCGCCGGTCAGGGAGACATACAGCACATGATCCCCGACTACAGATGGCACAGGGAGACACTTCACGCACCTTACTGCATTTTTATCACTTGTAGGAGTGAAGAATCAGCCGTTTCTCCCCCCGTCTCTCTGAACTGCCTTTTCCCGGCAGCCAAGTCTAACGCGCATACGTAAAATATCGCTGTCTCAGTTTGAATCTTGGCATCGCGCATGCAGAGAGAAGGAAGAAGCCTCGGCCTCTCCAGGAGTGGAAGAGCCTTCGTGGACGTAAGACTGTTGGGTATCGAGATAGTCTCCCCTGGTTACTCCTCTTCTAGATGCAGGAGGCTATCAGCCGGAATACTCCCCCGTGCAAGCCGAGCGTGAGCCCCTAGCTGAACGGTAAAAATCATCTATCTCAATCCTAGTCTACTTGGGGGTTTTCCTGTGCCGGTCCAGAGATTTTGCTGTGTAAGTAAGCCTCGAGCGTAAGCGTGTGTATATTACACATGTGGTAACTTCTGCCATTTAGCACAGCACTTGACAACTTCGCCCTAGGTGACTGACAACACAGTAAGTTGAATTTACTGGCAGTAACATGTACGGCTACGTGGAGCTGAATATGTACCCACTTTTAAAGAATAAACCAGCTGTGCAAGAATGAAGAACGAAAATGAGTACTTGTGTCTATGCAGTATAGTCTTCTATGTACCGTGACAAAGAAAGCAACATTCCCCAGTCATAATACGAGGTCCGAACAATGGTAAATGGTCTGGGTCAGGAGCCGACAACTCATAGCTAGTGGCCTTCTGAAATAATGCCAGCTGCCTGGTGGACCATGACTGACGAGCTGAAAGCAGAAGGTAAGCACCGTTCTGCTCACCTGCTCACTGTTCTGACAATGTACAGTACGCATGTAACGGCGACAGGTAGATCTGTCTTGCTTCACGAAAGGAAAGCTGTGCGCTGACGGCACGTTATGCAGCCCGAACATCGCGGGAAAATCCCAAGTTGGGTCGCTCCCGCTCGCCGACAATGTTCAACATTTCCTCTAGTAATAATTATAATAATTATGGTGTTTAGTGATTGAGTCATAGCTGCACATTATACGACGAATTCAGCATTGTATATAAACCGGTTAGTTGAGTGAACAACTAAAAACAGAGGAGCTATGGATTACCTGTCTCATGGGCTTAGGAAATGAGTCATAGCTGCACATCGATCATATATACAGTATGAAAGAGATCACTCGTGCTTTGCGACAATATAGGGCTTGTGTAGAGGGAAATTTACACGAGCAAGGCATGTCAGTTTGAAGATGTAACCACCATCCATTGTAGTACTTCACCACATGCACTATAGGCACTATATAGGTCATCCCTGTCTTGTCTCCTTGCTTTTTATGGCATCCCTTATATTCCACACCTTTTCAATTCGAAGAATTTACTTGCCACCTTTCCTTTTTTACGGCATGCACATGCGTGGTGTGCAACATAATAATTATGTCTGCTACTGTGCATGCGTTGGATTACGCACTTCTGTTTATCCGAAATAATTTCTAAATTTTTAAATGCTGCATAAGTAATTAATGGCTCGATCAACTTAGCAAGTGAGAGAACTCTCGACCATTCGGCAGCATTCGCTGTGTTCTTTGGTGCCTGACGGAGGCAGTAACTCTTTCAATCTTCGTCGTTCGAAGGTGCAAGTTGCTAGGAGGGCTCATGCCCTGCATTTCTTGAGCGACTCATCTTCAGGAACATGGTGTCTGCTTGTGGTGGTATCAAGAGTTGCGCATGCGCCTGAGTGCAAGTGATATATGAGATAGAGAGAGAGACAGAGAATATGTGATAAGCCGTAGGCTATAAGGCCTTTGGTTTCTATTACAAGAAAAAGTTCAGGGTTATGCTCCACCATGGCCACACCATACACTTATATAGTGTTTGACATTAATAAAGAAACTACACTGAATCTGCCGGAGGAGCATGCACATATTTTGCACAGTAATAGCGATAATGCAGGAAGTTAGAAACCAATATCTGGACCCAATATGGGAAACAGGGAAGAAAACGAGATAGACAATGCCGTTGGTTAACCATGCAGTTGGTAGAATTCAAGATGACAGAGAGAGAAGGCAAGAAATAAAGGAGAGACATGATAGACAGGGGAGACAAGAGAGACAAGGGAGACAGGGAAGACAGGGGAGTCAAGAGAGACAGGGGAGACAGGGGAGTCAAGGAAGACAGGGGAGTCAAGGGTGACAGTGGAGTCAAGGGAGACAGGGGTGAGAAGGGAGACCGGGGAGTCAAAGGAGGGTTTCTTCGTGCATTATGTATGATAGGCAAAGAGAAAAAACATTTGAAGATTTAGAGGAGGAAGGGAGACCATTAACATAAAACTAGAAGAGAAGAGGGCCGAGGCTACCACCTTGAGGCACACCAGAAAATTACTGCAAGATGGTCAGAGATACATGTTGAGATCGATGTGAAAGGTAAGATTTAAACCACCTCCACAGATTACCAGTTATTCCGAAAGTCCAGAGCTTAGCTAGCTGCCAAAAGCTTTCTTGAAGTCAAGGTATATAACATCGCTTGACAGTTTGAGTTTAAAGTGTCCTGAATGGAATTGAGGAATGTCAGTATTTGCTGAGTTGTGGAGTGATTAGGGCGGAACCCAAAATGGGATGAAGAAATAGAGGCAGAAACAAAGTGGATTATTTTGTCATACTTAAGTTTTTCCAAACATAACATAGAAGGGAAATTGGATGGTAGTTACGAGCAGACGATTTGTCACCAGACTTGAAGACCGGAAATGATCATGTGTGTACACCATTGCATTCTGCAGGAATGTTGGAGTGGGAAAGGTTAAGTAGGAATAGGTGATGGAGAGGTTTGTAGAGAGTGCAAGTGCACAGTGATGAAGAACATAAGGACCGATACTGTCGATTCCAATGGCTTTAGTTGTATCCAGTGAACACAAGGCTTCAAACACATGATGAGAGATACCAATGTCAGGTAGAGTATGGGGTGGTGATGCTGACTCATGCAGAGGAGGAATTTGGTAGACACTCAGCGTAAAAACTGAGAGGAAAAACTTGTTGAACAGGAGGACCTTCTCACTGTCAGTGGAGGCAGTGGAAGAGTCAGAGGTGACAATTAGAGGCACTGGAGGAGCTGAGGTGAGACTTTTGATGTACCTTTTGGGATGGTCCATAGCTAAATCTTGGTCAGTGCAATTTTGCTCTGGAAGGTTGGTCCTTTAGTAGGGATATATAGAAGAGATTGAAGTTTAGAAAGATTGTGAGGAGTTGGACGCAACTGATATTTATTTCCTCCACTGAGTGTGCAGGCATTTGTGATTGTGTGACAAATCGCAGGATTAAACCATTTGGGATTGGATGAGAATTTGACTCGTACTTTTGGGATCAAACAAATCCACATATAATTATAGCATGGAGAATGGTGCGCTTTATGAAAGACCAAACTAATTCTACGCAATTGGATAGGAAGCAGGAGCTGAAATCAGTTTCAAGTATAATAGAGAGTCACATGTTCACTGCTATGAGGACACCACCTCCACGAGTCACTCTGTCCTTACGATACAGAGTGTAAACTTTAGGAAGAATCTCTTTATCATAGACAAAATCAGTCAGCCATTTGTTACTGTAATGCAAATCACATCAAAGGTGGATGAGTAGCTACACTGGAATCTAGAGAATTTGTTGACGAGACTGCGTGTCTTTGGACAGAGGGAGGTCCTTAGTCATTGATCAGACACTGGGGATGGACATGACTGAGAAGCATCAGAAGCAGGATGAGACGTGGGTGATCCATGAGGAATGATCTTAACCATTGGTGGGACAACCAATGTCATTCAATGTGGCTGGCGAGGTCACAACAGAGGTATGGGGATGAGATTTAGACAGGCTGGCTGTAGAAAGCATGGGAGCAGAAACAATTGGCTGGGCACTGGTAGTCTGAACTGTTTTTTCAGCAACAGAACATGACGTGTGACGACAGAACAAGATATTGGAGCCAGACATTGTGACTTGCCCGTGGAGCTTGTTCCTGATGAATAAGCGATGACCACGAATTTTGATAGATTCAAGTGGCACACCGGACTGTAGCTATCAGGAACCACCTTTCTTTCATCAGTAGAGATTCAATCCTTCTCTTATCGGGGGGATCATGTCAGGCTTAATGATAACATGAGCAACTTGCGATGATCCTGTCTTTGACATGACCCTAGTAGCATCAGCTACCCAAAAAAACTTCGCTAGAAGGGGTGTAGACTCCCTGCCAAGGTGGTAGCTAAATATCCTTGATGGTGTTTGACTGGTCAGCATTGGATAGAACAAAGATAGCCTTTTTAGGTGTTTGTCTAGGCGAGCAGATGTTTAGGTGCGTCTTGTTGACCTCGGCAGGAACACCCGCACAGAGCCACTGCTGGCACTCCCCCCCTCCCACAGAACAGTGACTTGTCTTTGCCTTTCACTATAGCTTGACAGCAGACTCCGAACGTACATCTCTTCTTCGGAGGCATGTTTCCTCCGATGCAGATTTGTAGTCTTATGATCAATTTCCTGTGGAAGAGGGTGGAGTTGGGGCAGCAAGTTCAAAATCGGAGGATCTCGTCACCGAGAAAGGTTACTTACATGCTGAGAGGAACTGGTGGCTTGAGACTGCCACTATCCCAGAGCACAAGTCTTATCATTCACTGGCGAAGGAAATGTGTGGACGCCCAAGCTTGCCCGAGCTCTCCGTGAGCAAAACAACTCCTTCCAAAACATCATGGACAAGGTCAAGACAGATGTTGTAGATGAGCTGATGAAAGTAGGAAGAGAAATGCAAGTGGGTCGATCCACAGGCAATCTCTTAACAGGTGGTGGGCTCTTCCTTCATAAACAATTGCCCATGTCTTGCCTCTCCTCCCCTAATTAGACAGCAAGGAGAGGAAGAAAGAGAAAATCAAACACAGATCTTAGTGGCACTGACTTGGGGCAACCAACAAAAAAGTAATAGCACTCCAGGACGCCATATTCAGACATTGGCTTTTGGATTTGCTCTGCTACTATAGCTTTTGATTTTTCGACATTTCAATACTCTGCAGCGGCAAATAACAACGCAAATGCACTAGCCTCGCCAAAAAGCAAGAAGGCGCAGATCACGTGAGAGAACTGACCCGGATGCGCGCTATCACAACACTTTTGCTTTGTGGTTTAGTCCCGTGAAAACGACGAGCGCTAGGAGGCACGCAGCAAAGCGCTTTCGGCTCTATAGCTGAGTAGGAAAATCATGCACTTCGTCAAAGATTTCGGCTCTCCAAACTGCAGCAGCCACTGCGGCATGAGTACAGAACAGGTACATATAATTATATAGCTGTGTATAATAATAGCCATGATCATTGTTAGCTAACATGGTTGTTTACGCAGAAAGGAGAATTTGAAGTTGTGGCAATACTGAGGATCATCATGGCATCTATGAGGCAAGAAACACTTGCTGTACACTTTAGCTACATGTTCATACTCGTATATACTTTACAGCATCATGGGGGCATTCTCGATCGTATATTCAGCCATCCGCAGAAGAACAGCATGCAATCCAAAGGTTCATATTTATCTAAAAACTGAGGCATATATATAAAATCTTACATTTGTTTACCGTATATAGGTGCACCCAATATTCATCTTGTCCATCGTGGACACAATGCTGAGTGTCATGTGGATAACAGGCTCTGTGGTGTGGCTGGGGAATGGTTTTGAGATTGCTCGCATTGGCTGCTTTATCATCAATCTTCTAACAGTGGTATTTAGCTATAGCTACTCACTGAGTGTATGAATAGTTTGCTTTGCCTTTGCCTTCATAGAGACCCCATTATAATATAGTCATGAAAAACAGGCTTGGGATGATAGTTTTGAACTTGTTTTCCGGGAAATGTTGCTCTGTTTACCTTTTCGTTTCGCTATGACTTTCTATACACCAACGCTTATTGCCTAAACTCACTCCCACATTGTGGATTTTTGTTATGTAAAAATCCGTAATATACTTTACTATATAGATACTCCAATGTGTTTCAATGAATGTGACCCTAATCTACGCCCTTCTGGCCTACTCCAGTATCAGACAGAAAGATTTCAGTGAATCATATTATGTAAGTAATTTTTTAAATTAATACAGTAATATACAACAACTCTCCCATTATCTATGACTGTACACACACTATCAAGCACTCAAGCATAATAATACACGGCTTTAACTGCCGATTTATGTTATTCCTCACTAGGTTGTACAGGGAAAGCAGACATACGTCCATGTTTGGCCACCTCAGTGCTCATTCACCGCCTACTGCATAGCTGTGTATTTACCATTCCACACTTATTGTATATAGCAGCATGCTTTTGAGTATTCCCACAGGACTCTGCCGGGTTTACTGTTACTGACATCTTTCAGCATACTCTCTGTCAAGTTTAAATTAGTCTCTGATGCAAAGATTTACTCATGCTGGTATTGCCTTCTTTCAGTTTTATTATGTCCCTTCGTCAGCCGTTTTATGTTTCAGGTGTCTGCCCTTCTATGGAAATGTTCTCCCACGACCTGCACTGGGCTATGATACCAATACTACAGTTTAGTGAAAACTATAATTGCTAGGAGGCATTAGCTATAATTCTAATATTGATTCTTACCACCAGGACAGGAATCACTATTTGCACCATCTTCATTATTATGTAGCTTCTTACTCTGTTCTCCTTGCGGTCAACTTTGCCGTTGTGTTCCTTTCTATGACACTGAGCTACTGCAAAGTGCTCCATCACATCAAACGTATGAGACTCAGACAAGGTTACAAATATAAGTTTGCAGAATGAATCACTGTGTCATTTATATTTGAGTGGGAATGTATCTCCACAGAGAGGAATGAACATTCTGCTGCATATAGAGCCACCCAGGCTATGGTTCTTGAAGGACAATATGATGCAAAAAAGAGGGTGTTGCTCTTCATCTCCATATACTTTGTTACTGGAATTACAAGTTAGTGAATGAGATGTATGCACTGTAATCACAAATGCTACTCTAACTCATGCAGCTTTCATTCTTGGAATAGTCGGGATTGTGATAGTCATCACAGATTACCATACAAACTATTCATGTGCCAAAAAGGACGATCACAAAGTTATGACTGGCATCTACATATTTCTGCTTTTTGAGGTGAACTAAAGTTTGCACATTATTTTGTCTGTTGTGTTACACTCTTGGACAGGCAGGACTAGTCCCACTGCAAGGATTCCTGAATGCTGTGGCCTATGGCTGGACTCGTGGGGATTTTCTAAGTGTCATGTCCACCCAACACAACCTGAGCAACCCTCTCAGACTCACAGCCCCACTCTTATGGCTCAGTCACAGACTGATGTGAGGAGAGATGACTGAAGACGATGAGACTGAGGTATCTCAGAGGCCCATCTCGTTCATCTGCATGATACCAAAAGACGAGGGAGTGACTTGTTGAGAAGAGACACTGCCATTACACCAGGGACACACCAGACTAGCACACAATAGTTAGGTTTCTCATTGTGAGAAGCAGAGAACGGAGATATAATTGCATCATGAGCGCTATGGCACGCGCAGAGGTTAGTCCGAGAGAGGGTGGCGAGGCGTTGGGGAATAGCAGTGCACACACCCACACACACACACCGACGTCTCTGGTGTCTTGGTGGATCTGCTGTGCGAGATTAGACGACAAGTGACGGATGGCGCGTTCCAAGACACTCTGCATCTGTGGTACTTGGTGGTTACCTCGTCTATATTGGAGATACAGCTAACGCACGTGTGAGTTTCTACTAGACCACCACGCGCGTGAGCGAGTTGATCACGAGCATCAGCTTCGACTTGGGCTAGTTTACAGATCCTTTCCTGAACGTTCCCTGGAAGGTTTTCCGCGCGAAGCTGTACGTAAAATTTATACATATTTTAGGCGAGGTAGCTTTTTTATTTTACTATGTGTTCCTTTAGTCTGGGAAAATTGTTTACTAGTTTGCTAGTGAAGAAACATTTTATTCTTTCATTTGTTTCATTCAGCGGTCAATGCAGGTGGGGATGGTGAGCTCCAAAAGCTGGTCGTATTGACACTTTATGTTATGCTCCTTTGCAGATATAGTTGTCATTATATTCCTCTCACGACCCTTCCACCACTTGCTGTTTCTTTTCTTCTGTGGCGTGGGGAGCACGTTGCATCCATAGGATGGTTTTATTTACTGGAGTCAACCAGACCCGATAATCTCCAGAAGACAGTGATGCTGAATTAACTACTGTATTTATCATACAGTGTTATGGTAATAGGCCAAACAAACTAGATTA